CTACCATGAAAAATAGGTTATTCCGAGCACATTAGCTCCTTAATAGCATAGACCAGTGGTTTTCAAATATTTTGGCCTCAGGATTGCTCTACATTCTTAATAATGATTGTAAACACTATAGAGGACTCTAGGGTGCTTTTGTTTATATGAGATACATCTATTTGTTTTTACTATATCTGTTAAATAAAATAGAAGTTTAAAAATATTTTGTTAATTTATTTAAAATAACAAGCCAATTACATTGTATTATATTTTATTACAATGAAACTATATTTTCCAAAACCAAACGAAAATTGGCATTTTTTTTTTTTTTTACAAATATCTACCACATCTGCCTTAAAAGATGTCTGGATTCTCATGTCTGTGTCTGCATTCCAGCTGTGGAGACATAGCACACGGAGCTCTGGAAAACTCCCTGAGAGAATGAGGGTAAAAAAGTCAAATAAGGGACTTACGTTTTTATGAAAATAGTTTTGATCTTGCAGTCTGTTTGAAAACCTTTGGTATAAACAATAACAAAACCCAGAATTTTAAGAATACATGTTTTTGTGAATTTGACTTCTGAGATAGATGATTTTACGTACATAATAATCAATAGAATCAGTTGGGTATCAATTCTTGTCTTTCTCTTGACTTTCAAGATAATCCAGAGCCAGGAAATTCTAACTCTGTGAAACAGAGGACAAGGCCTCCAGCGCATCTGGTCTCAGAAGGGACCCCAGTGAGGGCGGCTATTACTCCACGGAACACCACTTCATGTGCAAATGCCAACCAACTATAGGAGCACATGGATGTAATTTTGGTTTCCTGATTAATATAAAACCACTCCGCATATTTGTTCTCTGTGCTATCAGTTCCAACAAATACGATTCAACTAGGATGTGGACAGATTGACATATTAGAGACTATTTCAAACTCTTGGACATTTGGGTGATTCAGAGAGAGTGGTAATCCTCCATTTGATGGCTAATCAGGATCAAGAAGGAACCTCTTTGTCTTGAATACCAACACCCTTGGGCTCCTCCACCTTCTCAGAACAGATCTATCTCTGATGTTGTGAGACAGGAAACAACCTGAGTGCTGGTTCCAGTTACTCATCCAGTGAGAAAAGTATTTAATGCTTTGCCACTTGACACAGTTGGGAAATACTCAAGTGCAGCATTGCTTAATAAAGCAATTCAGAATGTGAATTGCTGGTCTTCTCTATGCCATAAACTAAGCAAATGACAGGGAAGTCACAGTCCCTTAACTCACCAGTCAACTTTGTGAAATAGTGTGACCTCCCTTCCTTCCTTTATTCTTTCCTCCAATATTTATTATGTACCTGTTATGAATGAGGCACTGCAATACATACAACTTCAAATTATTTGGCTACCAATTCTGTTTATTTTAAATTATTACATATTATTATTTCTAAATAAGAGGAAAGCATGCCCATTAAGGAAAATTAAAATTATAGTAAAATATAAAGAAGGCAATTACAATTCCCCATAACTAATTTTTTGGGGTAATTTTAATGAACTCGCTTATGTTTGTTTCACATTGTATAATAAGCAGCTTTAATTTTATTTAAAACTAATCATAAACATAATTTTAATGTCCAAAGTTGGTGATAAGTATCTTATGAAGTAATCTTATGTCTCATTACAGATTTCTATAGGAGAAATTGCTTCCTGGGAGTAGAATTACTTGGGAAAAAGAATTGTGTACATTTTACAGCTTCTGTTAACATACTGCAGCGTATCAAAATTACACCACCAGATGAGAGGACTCATTTCATTGTGAGGGGCAGCAGAGTTTGCCACCCCAAAATATGCCTTTTGGAATATTGATTATTTTAAACTGGTTATTTTTAAGAAACAAAAGATTTTTAAAAATGTTTGACAGCACCCCCACCCCCACCTAAAATAATTCAGATAGAAAATCTGCTTAAGGAAGGGAATGTTAGCATATTCACCTTAGCATCTACAAAGTAAGTGTGGTGGATGGTGAGAAGCTAAGCAAAGACTGTCTATTAGATTCCCGTCTGTGTCCCATTGTTTCCGGGTGGCCTGGCAAGAATGGTTTAACACACGTTTGCTCTTTCTCATCCGCCTGTGAGTTGCCTACTTTCCCTTTGAAGTCCCAGATCCCTGTCTCCCTCTTCTTAATCCAGAAAGGCATCCAAGCCTCAGCTGGCCAACATGTCCTCAGATGCCATATCCTTAGGGAACCTCTGAATGTACATCAAAACAAATTTGGTCATTTTCTCCTGTTTATCTGTTTTATGTTAATTAGATTGTTAATCCAGCCAGAAGAATTTAGAAAAAAAAAATATTTTTCCTACTCCTCAGCTTCATCCTCACCAGCATTGAGCGAAATGCTTATTTATATGCCATCTTTGCTAATAAGCTTGGTAAGAACAAAAATCCTATCTTTAAAAATATTGTATCTGGGGTAAGTATTGAAATAGAATTTATTTTTTCTTATTGGGTTTTAATTTCTTTTCTTTTTAAATTTAATTAGAGAGAGAGGAAGGAGAAAGAGAGAGAGAGAGAGAGAGAGAGAGAGAGAGAGAGAGAGAAAGAAAGAGAGAAACATTGATGTGACAGAGACTTAGGTCCTTTGCCCATTTTTTCCCTATCCTTATTGGGTTTTAATTTCTTTTCTTTTTAAATTTAATTTATTGGGGTGACATTGGTTTGCAAAAATAGAGGTTTCAAGTGTACAGCTCAATAAAACATCGTCTGCAGCCTGCATTGTGTGCCCATCACCCTAAGCAAAGTCCCTTTCTGTGCCTTTTTCCCCTCCTTGGCCCACCTCAGCCCCCTTTCCCTCTGACTATCACCACACTGTTGTTTGTGCCTATGTGTTATGTATCTATGCATTCATGTGTTATGTATATATGTTCTTCCATCCAGTCCCCTAACCCCCTCCTCTCTGACAGGTGTCAGTCTCTTCCATGTATCCATATCTCTGTTTCTATTTTGTTCATTAAGTTCTATTTTGTTCACTAAGTTCCACATATAAGTGAGATCATATGGTGTTTGTCTTTCTCTGACTGGCTTATTTTGTTTATTGTTTTCGTGTTGAGTTGTATGAGTTCTTTATAAATTTTGGATATTAACCCCTTATCAGATGTATCATTGGTGAATATCTTTTCCATTCTGTAGGTTGTCCTTTTGTTTGTTAATAGTTTCCTTTGCTGTGCAAACACTTTTTAGTTTGAGGTAGTCCCATTTGTCTATTTTTCTTTTGTTTCCCTTGCCCACGTTTCCCTTCCTTCTATATAGCGAAGAGAAATGTCAGAGATTTTACTGCCTATGTTTTCTTCTAGGAGTTTTATGGTTTTGAGTCTTAGATTTTATCCATTTTGAGTTTATTCTTGTATATGATGTAAGAAGGTGGTCTAGTTTCACTTCTTGCATGTATATTTCCAATTTTTTCAACACCATTTGTTGAATAGACTTTCTTTACCCCATTATATGTTCTTGCCTCTGTCAAATATTAATTGCCCATAAAGACATGGGTTTATTTCTGGGCTCTTTATTCTGAACCATTGATCTATATGTCTGTTTTCATGCCAATAACATAAAAAAGCAGCTTGACTACAGTGACTCCATCTTCTTTCTTCACTCTGGTCCTCAGATTCTAGGCAGCAAGACCATGATCAGTTATCACTATAAATATTTATGTGGAATTCTTTGGTTTCATAATACTTTTTAGGAATCTGGGTAATCGTGACTGTAGGTTATGAGATTATCTAGTTCAGATCTGCAAACACAAATGTCCACCATATCCTCAAATGCCAGTGGAGGTGGGGCATATAGCAGTGATAGGGACTGTGGAAAACGGAAATGCATCTTCCCAGTGTGAAGAGGGCACCTATTACTTGGCTCTGGCTGATGGTTGCTAGAACCTTCCATGGACCACAGGTTGCCAGTTCTTCCAACTTTTCAGAATATGCCAAAAGTCTGAATTTTTGTGAAATTTTCTGATTTAAAAATTTGGAACCAAAATCAAAATTAGAAAAACAACGACACCATTGCTTCTTAAAATCCATGCAGGCTGCCTCCAAGAGTCAACCCTCTTTATTTTAAAAACCCATGCAGGAAGGTAAGGCCTAAAAAGTTGAAATGCCTGAGGCTAAACAGGCCAGTCAGTGATGGAGCCAGAGCTACACGTTTGGTCTCCAAGGGAAAATTAGATGAGGAAAAACACATCCCATTTCCCCCTCTCTGCCTCTGCCTTTGCTTTTCTCACTTGCAAGTTTCCTCCCAACCAAACTCAGGAAAGGCGGAAAAGTGCCTGCTTCACCCAGCAGCAGCAGTGTTTGTAAAACATTTATAAATTAATAGAATCTTCCTAGCCAATAAAAGTAGCTTTTGGTGTCAGATCAGATTTTAAATCTTAACTTCTGTGTCTCCGTCATGGAAAAAATTAGTACCACTTATATGGGCTGTGGAGAGGATGAAGTAAGATTTCAATGTTTGCAGTGTCTGGCAAAATACCAGGACCATACTAAAGACCCTGCACTTAATAATTGTAATAATATCCAGATGATGTCATAATAGTTTGCATTACCCATGGAGACAAAGTGGGGGTGGGGTGGGGAAGAGGATAAAGTATTTCATGGTGGGGGCAGGTTATGGATAAATCTCAAGATGGAATTCTTAATAGGAGGTATAGGTGGGATTTTCTTTTAAAACCCCATTTTTGCCTGACTCCAGTGGAGTTCATAGTCAAATCCATCTGCATCACGGTGTGTACACTGCAGTCTTAAAAGGCACCCATTCCTGTCCACTTTGGCTAAATGAATGGTGGAGCAAAGTGAGAGTCTAGGTGGTTCTGGGCCAAGAAGGGGACTTGCTGGGTTTCCGATGAGAGAGTCGCACCCTTTCATTTTACTCTCGCTCTAGGGCAACCGCAGGGACCTGCCTCCACCTGCGAGCTTTTTCTGCAGAATGCGGGAGGCCGCAGTCGCGGAAGAGGGGGCGGGGCAGAGGCGGAGGCGGCACCCAGGGGCCGGGGCAGGGGAGGCCGGGACCATCGCAGCGACAATTTCTTTTCCTGTTGCAGGGGCGGCTGCAGCAGGCTCGGATGGGCCCTGACTGCGCGTGGCTTTGCTAGGTCTCTGATCGCCCCCGGTGCTGCGGGGCCCCCGGCAGCGAAGGGGAGGAGGAAGAGGGGAACAACGCACGCAGCCAGAGCGAGGGAAACTAACAAAGCTCCATCGAGAGGTCCACAGAGAGGGGTGGACGCACGGCCGAGGCCATGGGGCTGGCGCCTCCACGCCGGGGGCCATAGCGCCGGGCTGCAGTGCCTTCTAGCAAAAGCCAGCGCGGCCGGACTGCGGCGGCCAGACGGATGCCAAGGCCACACGACAGGCGCGGGGGCAGCCGCTGCAGTCGCCGCCCCACGCGGGCTCCGGACATCCAGGGCTGCTGGTGAGTAGGCGCGCGCGCTGTCAGCGTGAGTGTGAGTGCGCCCCGGCACGAGCGAGGGTACCCGTCGGTCCGTGTGCACGGTGGCCTGGTGCGCCCCTGTCCCTCTTCCGATGGCGGCGTCGGGTCTGGGGTTTGTTCCGCGGGAAGAAAATGTTTTTTGCTGCTTCTTCACTTCCTTCTAAGTGCCCCGATCGTCCGCCTGCGTCTGCGCTGCTTCTGTGCGCCCCCAGCCGGCTCCTGGGGGTTCCTTTCACCTTGATGGGGAAGGCAGGAAGCTGTGGCTCTGGGTGGCAGGGCGGGACTCTGGCAGTGACCTACAAGCGTGTTTCTGGTTCCGACTTGGAGACGGTGTCGGCATTGAAAGAGATCACCGCGCTGTCTTTGGGGGTGCGTGGTGTGGAGAGGGGAGGGCGAGGGTTGGGAACGCAGACCTTTGCCCCAGCAGGACATGTGACGTGCCTCTAGATGGCGTTTACTTCTATGGTGTTTATTAGCATAAACTGTCTTAAGACATTAAGTAATTCATGAGTAATTTACATCTTAACTGAATATCTTCAATGAAATGCACAAAGAAGTATAATGTCACTGGAACATAATTTTCCAGAACTCTCTAAAACAACAACCCACACTGCTGAGAGCCAAGAGCCTATGGTGAAATTAAAAATACTACAAAACCTATGTAATTTTATTAACCAATGCCACCCCAGTAAATTTAATTTTAAAAAATTAAAAATTGCATACGTCATAAGTAATTCCAGAAACAGAAGTTGATCTAGACTACAGGATGGGAGGGGGAGGATCTTAAGTGTTTGAGTGCCTTGGGGATAGGGTGGCTTTCTGGAAATCAGGTGGTTAGGAAAACAGACATCTTTCAAATTAAGCTCCCCTGATCACAGTGATTGACAAGCATCCTGTTAGTCACTAAGAAGAAAATGAAGCCCTAGGTTTTAGGGAGTTTCTGAAATTATAATGAATGTAAGTAAGATGCTGATTTATGATTTCATGCTCAAGGCCCTGTCAATGGTAATAAATACAGCAGATTTGTTCCAGCAGATAAATTACACCAGAATTTTTTTTTAAAGATTTTTTTATTGATTTTTGGAGAGGAAGGAAGAGTGAGGGAGAGAGAGAAACACGCATGTGAGAGCAGATCATTGATCGGCCGCCTCCTGCATGCCCTCCACTGGGTTTCTAGCCTGAAACCCTGACTTGTGCCCTGACCAGGATCAAATCGTCAACTTTTTGATGCAACAGACGACACCCAACCAACCAAGCCACACTGGCCAGGGCTATACCTGACATTTTGACTTCTGTGTGGAGTTTTTATTCACAGTTTTCTATGATGGCTTTATAGAGATTAAGCCACTGGGTTTTATTTTTTCCCAGACCTTGTTTCAATGGACAGTCTTATTTATGTCTGTGGAATGGATGCTCAATTAAATTTCAAAAATGTATTCTATAACTGTATTATAGTAGCATTTTGTAGCTATATATGTCAATTTTTTTTTTTTTTTAATTCAAGTTAATGCCTTTGAGAAATAGACTCCTCCTGTTTACTACTGGCTCCATTACAGCTTCTTTATTTGAAGCCATGAAATGTTACTGGAATCTACCTGGAAAATGAACTGGCTGCCTCTTTTCAGTTCAAACATATATCCAGCACATTGGCGGCCACTTGGGAATCTAGCTGGAATTTATGTATCAGTTGATTCTTGGGAATTTTAAAAAGAAACTTGTGGGTTTTTTTGTTTGTTTGCTTGTTTTAAATAAAACAAGCAACATTTAAATGATCATACAGATAATCCTAGTCTTTTACCCATATTGTGGTCTTGAGGGCCAGTTTCTTGCCTACTTTTGCCTTGTTTCATAGGACTGATTGCCAGTGTGAGGCTTAGAGAGACACTGAGGGGAGCGGTATTCCCGAGGAGATTTGCTCCTGGACAGGAGACTGTCTCTGGGTTGGCTCCTGAGAAGGACTGATAAAAATAGTTAAAGAACTGTTAGTAATAGTCACTTTTTTTTTTTTTTTTTTTTTTTTTTTTTAGCACCTAGGCCTTAACTAAACCAGTTTGTCCATATTCCTCCTTCAAGGACTCTTCCCAGTCCTACTTACAGCATCAATCCAGGGAGTGAGGTTGCTTTTCACAGAGAAGAAAAGTCTGGTAATTCTTGCTCAACATATGAGGGGTAGAAGAAACATGTAGATGCTACCCAGGAAGTGCCAGGTGCCTTCCCGGAGGATACATTTACAAATTAGAGACATTCTAATCCGCTGGATTTGGGATTCTGTCTAAAGCTAGCATTTTTTCTCAACCCTGTGAAAGATTTATAAGTAACTTCAAATGACACCACAAAAAATGACTCATAGTCATCCCTGAACATATTAGAGTCAGCTTTCTGTCCCTTCCGGCTAACGGATCACAGATGCTCAATAAATGTTTGTTAAATGAAAAACAAGTCTGGAATGTCTTTACTTCCCAACTTAACTAGTTCACATCTAGTATTGATTGTTTTTAGCCATAACTTTATATGAACCTTTCATCAAATTGAAGCTCATGCATATATTCAACTAAGATCAACTTCCTCCATCAAGGAACAATTACAATTCCTTCGAGATAAAAACAAACAAACAGACAAAAAGTACTGTATTGGCACCTGTTGACTTGCTCACTCCATGAACATGTGAATTGTCCAGCGGCATGTGTGAGTTTACATTAAAAAAAATCCTGAGTTGACATCAGGATGTTCAGCCCAGGAATAATCTGGATGTGCCTTTTGTCACAAATTATTTGCATTTCTAAGCAAATCACATGAGTTTCTAGTACAATCCAGCATCTCCTCATGCTAAATGGAAAAGCCAATGAAACCTTTGGCAGATGGCTAAATGTTCACAGCACATGGCATTTGATTTTCTTTCTAAATTTTAATTTCATCCGTGTTGTGTTTGTCCATTGATTTGGCTGGCTTAGAAACTAATTCAGACTGGTGGTTACTTAGTAACTTGCATTTATTAAAAGCAGCTCCTTTATATAAGCACAGTAATTCATGTTTTAATTGCTCTAGTTAGCCTTTTAAAGTCCTCTTGGAAATGGTTGCATTGTATGATCTTGGATATTAAGAGCGCTATGCTTTTTTTTTTTTTAATAGTTCTAACTTTCCATTCCAAGTCATTAGAAATTTAGCCTATGATTCATGTTTTAATTTCAGGACTAAAGATTATTAGAAAGCTGTCTGAAGTTTGCCTGGATATTAACATGATCATGCATATTAATAATGCACATTTTCTGTCTGGCATTCTTCTGTTCATGTCCTCCAATCAAGCTTGTTTTATTCTGAATAAAAATTAAATGAGACCCTTAAACATTTAATTTTTTTTCTAATAGGCTATGTCCAAAATAAGTACAATAAAAAATTGCTATCACTGTGTTGAAGTAATACAAATACTAATATCCTCTGCATAATGAAACATGGCCATTCTTATCAGGTATTTACTTGATTAGTAGGAACTTGAACAAGGGTGAAAGGCCTGTTCCTTTCATGCCGTACTAAGGCCTGTGAAAGCCAGGGAGTGGAATTTTGATTAGATAAGGTGGCCAACTCAAGGGAGGTTCCTGGAAAGGATTAAGTGAGGAAAGCATCTTTTCGAAGAATATGTTGGCCATTGGGTGGGGAGTGGATTAGTGGAAAGAGGGAGTGGAGGTGTTAATCTGGTGTCAGATAATGATAGCTGCACTTTTCATCCAAAGGCTGCAATGGAGAAACGAAAACTTAAGACAGTCAGACATCAGAAGTCTTTGTTTTATGTGCAAGAGGGATAGCAAACCTGTGGCACAAGGGTCATCATTCGCATATTCCACATTCATGGAACATCACCCACATTCTTTTCAGCTGAGCCCTAGTGTAACCTCAGAATCTTGCAAACATTTGACAGATATTTAGTAATAAATATTAGTTCCTGAGCATGTGCTATATGCCAGACACTGTGCAAAGGCTTAACACATTATCTCAAGGGTGATGGCATAGTTAGGAACATGAATTCTCTTTGCCATTTACTAGTTGTGTGTCCTTGGGCAAGTTACTCACTTCTCTGAGCCTCAGTTTCCTCATCTTTTAACAGGGGTATTAATTTCCCTCTCATAAGACTTGGGGGAGGGTTAAATGTATAAATGAAAAGTGATTAGAAGTGTCTGGCAAAAAGTTGTGCTGTATGTGTTTGTTGTTGTTATTTATTAATTCATAAAACAACTTTAGGCAATAGGTATCATTGTGCAAATTTAAAAATTGAGGTACAGAGAGATTCTTGTATAAAATTTTTGCTTTAGTTGTATTTAGTATTTTTAGTATTTTGTAAGTGGTATTTCTCATTAAGTGCTTTATTAAGAAGTGTTTCAATTTGCATTTTTACATTTGCTTTAAAAATTGTTTATTTTTTGTTTTTGCCTAAGAGTTGACATATGCAATACATATTAATTTGTAACATCTCTCCTTATACCCAGTGATTCTGAGCTGGAAGAAAGGAGGTATGTCTTCCTAATATAGTGTATAGCATATAGCTTATCCTATATAATAAAAACGTAATATGCTGAGTGTCTGACCATTTGACCTTTCAACCAGTCGCTATGATGCGCACTGACCACCAGGGGGCAGATGCTCTGACCGGTAGGTTGACTTGCTGCTGGGGTCCAGCAATATGTGGAATCTAATGAACATTGGGACTGGGTGAGATGGGCAGGACATGCCCTGGAGCCCTCCTGCAGTCCCTCCCAGGCCCCAATTGTGCACTGGTTTGGTCCCTCGGCCTGGCCTGTGCCCTCTCACAGTTCGGGACCCCTCAGGGGATGTCAGAGAGCCAGTTTCGCCCTGATCCCTGCAGGTCAGGCTAAGGTTCCCCACCGGTGCATGAATCTGTGCACTGGGCCTCTAGTATTATATATCATATAAATAATGTGCAATGTAATATTTTGTAATTATATAATATATATTATATATGTCATATGAAG